AAATACTTTCCACTCTACGCACCGAAAGATGTCGCCAAAGAGTTGTCCATTGAATTCAGTAATATTAAAGCCGAAGAAGACGTTTGCTTTACTCTCAACTACTATTCTTCGGGAACGTCGACAATAACCGTCACTTCGACCGAAGCGGGAAGTGTTGGACTCGTATTGAACGCTCTGACCGACGGTTCCCAATGGAATCAACAGTATATATGCGGTTCATATCTAACCCACGCATACACTGCAGCCAAAGCGGTTAAAATTAACATTAAAAGTAGTGACATTCACGCCGGTATTAACATCGGTCCAGTGCTGGCCATTCACAACACATTTATCGATCAACCGGTACTTTCACATTATAACAGGAAAGTCGATAAAACAGCCGTAAAGACTGAGTGGCCGATTGTTATTGGACTTAAGGATAATTGGATATACGACGAGAAATATAATGATGTTAAATTTGCGAGTAATACATTGAACGCTTAATAATTTTTATAACAATTACTATTATTTGTTATATTTATTTCTATAGTTAAAAGTGTAGAGAAACCGTCAGAAACAAAATTTACTACATATTTAATGAGTCAATGGATTACTGTGAATGGCGCACACAGTTTATTGAGATTGCAACTTGATCCCAAAATAAGTATGAAAAGCTTTACCATTGAGTTTGTGTTGTTCGATGAGAATATGAAAGAAGTAGCCGACGCTGACAGACATGTTTACGGCGATAAAACATTTGATACGGTAATTGTGTTTATTATATTATTTATATATTATATTTAATCAATTATCCTATTCTACAATAGACCAGGACTATCATTGATACAATTGGTGGTGACGGTGCCATTGAAGCGAGCTTACCATTAGTTACAAATCAAAAAGTATTTCGCGTGGGTATGAAAGTGGTTTATAAAGAAGACAAAATGGCAAAGACCCTGTTCACTGTGAGCCAGATCAGTGTCAACGATCCCTGCGTTACTGTTTATGACAACAAGATTTCAATACATAATTGCGGCCCACAATCAATAGATGGAATGTGTTATCCATTAACTAAAACTGTGTATAACTGCAGATGTAGGGATGGTAAGGATCATCCAGGTGATTGTCCCGCATCTCCACCGTCACGACCATATCGTTGGATATTTGATAAATTCGCTATAATCTTGAATTAATAGGTTTTATGTTTTCATATTTATTGTATTGTAGTTTATATTTAATTGTGAACTCAAAGACACGTTTGAAATTACAATAACTTATATTTTGGTCACTAAATTAAAAGTAAACTATTAATTAAACATTTATCCTACTTTGTTGTGAGTTAATTACATTTGACACAAAAATCTGCTCTCTCTCTCTCTCTCTCTCCTCACTACAAGAGACTCGTCTTATGCACTAATCTATGGTCACTTGAATCGTACGGGAAATATATGGGCATTAATCGGTTGTATATTTCTCTGTCTTTTTCCCCAAACAAACAAAACACAACTCTTTCGACATGTATTGAGTGCGGACTCGACTCCAACCACTGGCGGACAGTCTTGAGGGCAACGTTTGCCGCCTCTTCGTTGGGATAGCCGTAAACACCGGTCGATATACAGGGAAACGCTATGGACTTGAGCTGTCTCTCGCCCATCAGGTCCAGAGCGCTCCGGTATGCGTCGCGTAACTGATCCGGTTGTTCACCCTTTGGGCCCACCGTATGAATAATGTCTGTGTTGATTATGAACAGAATAGTTATTGTCCTTTTGTTAACATGTTGTCATTGCACTTACACTTTGCCGGCAGTTTATAGCCACCGGTGATTTTGCTGGTGCCGGTGGGACAGCCGTTAAGGGTCTGGCACTCCAAGCGTAACATGTGTTTACCGGCGGCGTTGTGTATAACGGCGTCCACTGAGTTATATAATAGGCGGGGATGAGAATAGGAAAAGTGTGATGAATGGGATGAGTGGTAGAGAACAAATAATAGATTAATTATCATGTTATATGGGTTTAAATACAAATATTTAGCCATAAACCCATACACACCCCCTCCACCCCCAGTGAGCTGGTGGTCGGCAGCGTTTACAATGGCGTCCACTTCTATGGCTGTGATGTCGCCCACAAATATTGATACCTTTTCGTTCAACTCGTGGTTTACCTCAAACTCTGGGCATCGGGTTCGGGAGAAGTGGCCCCACGTCTGGATATCAGCCAATGTGCTATAATTGTGGCCACAATCGTATTGTTTCCGTTTGTCACGCAATGACATCGTTAAATATCGAGCTAATTTTTGTGAATGTTTATTGTTGTTAATCTAAATTAATTAATTAGCATTTATTATCTCACTTTTATCATCATGGTACGATTCCTTGTCTTTGTTTTCCCATTTGTACCAGCTCATTGCGCTCACTAATAGTATACTATATAATGGTCGTTTTATTATGAATCTATAATTCATTAATTACTGTACAAAATTAAAACAATAATTATTGTAAACTTAAACCACTCTCAAATTCACATTGATCAAATTGTACGCATTTGTACACATTTAGTAAGCATTAGTTTGGAAATAACATGAATGTAAAACAAAATTCCAGAACCTTAACACAATATCACAAATATTATATACTGACAGTATAATACTGTACAGTATTTATAGCAACATGAATAATTTATTGCTAATATAATGGCCGTAAATGATAAAACACACCTATAGATTAAAGTCCACTATTAAATTGCATACAATTGTTATTGTAAATAGGTAGTTTATCTTGATAACATAGACCTAAGTTATTACTACAATAACATAATTTGATATGCGGATTTCCATAACATTGTTTGACTAGACAAGTAGCATAATAAATATGGCTAACACTTTAGTACATTTTTGGTACAGTTTTGTCAATAATGTACAATTTTTCAAAAGATAATAATGATTATCGCAATTATTTTATAGATGTACACTACAAACTTTTATTATCACCCCACTAGTTTCTCATTGATTTCAATGTAAAGTGGTGCCAAAATTATTACCCCAAAAGTTAATAAATTGAATAATCATAATTAAAAGTTATCATAATTAAATCACGGGAAATGCGAACGTAATTTTTTTTAAATGGCCACATGCGAACAAGTGCGAACAAAGGGGGGGGGGGAGGGGGTCTAAATTTCTTAAAAAGTGCGAACGTATAATAATGAAATTCTTGTCTTATATTTTTCAAATATTAACTCATTTTTGTCGATTTTTTCTTCAAAACTTATTTAAAGACTCAATGCCATAATGTTTTTTTTCAGCCCATAATTCACATGCAATTTATTTGTGTAATTCGGTATTGGCGGTGGTTTATTATCGTATAAAGTGGACTTAGAATGGCCGTCAGTTACATGCGGTCTTTCAAATATCAGCAATTGACTCGCGTGATATTTTCGTACTTGAAAATTGAAATTCATTTTAATTTATCTAAAAATACATTGAATTTCGGTTAAATTGAATGATTATAAAAATAATTTGTCTATAATTAATAAACCAATATCTTCATTGCTTTATCTGTCTAGTTCCAGACCTAAAATCAACATCACACATTTCTCTTAATGCTTTTCAATACGGGGTTTGGGGGAGGTTCGAATGTTAGGTCTGGAACTAGACAGTGTGTAATGATAAATCACTAATCAATATCTCAAATGAAAGATAGATAACAAATGTATAAAATCCATGCCATAAACATTCATGATAGTCACTGGCCAGTGCTAGCGGGTCCCCGAACCTACCGATGCATTCACTTTAACACTATTTACAATGCGGCCGCAATGGCCACTCGTACTCTAAATTTAACAAATCTTTTTTTGGAAACTTTAGCCAACAATCGGACCTACATCTCAGTTAAATATTTTTAAAAATAGATAACTTTTAATTATGATTATTCAATTTATTAACTTTTGGGGTAATAATTTTGGCACCACTTTACATTGAAATCAATGGGAAACTAGTGGGGTGATAATAAAAGTTTATAGTGTACAACATTGTTACCTTTTGACTAATTCACTACTTTTATGAGTCTGAATATTAAATGACTCATCAAGTTTTGGCTCTAATAATAAACTTAATAAATATAATAATAGTTTCTTGACTATTGTACAAACATAGAATTATTGCAAATATGCAAATTATTTAAAATTAAGTTATACTATTGATCATTGCTCATGTCATCATATCTAAACTAGGCAAACTGACTATTACTGTAAATACACATGAGCATTAGTATTTCAAAACTCAATCATTTGAGCTCAAGTTTTTAGCTATTTTAGCTAATATATTAGTCGTTTGTAATTTAACATAATTCTTATTAGTTAAATATGAATAGGATTTTAGTAAAAAAATACTGAATTATAGTCAACCCATTAATTCATATCTATTTAATGCTGTTTGTTAATTACAATTGTTTAAATAGCAATAAAGGTAATTTTTGTTAAATTATCTCAAATCTAGTAAAAAGGTGAATTATAGTAAATTTTCTAACCAACCTTCCTAATAGAGTACCGTAAATAATGGGTGATAAACTCTATCACTACACAAACAAAGCGGGTGCTGATGGCATAACAAAGACCGGGGTCATCCGCCGTAGTGGCAGCGCCAACGGGGCGGGCGGAGCGTTTGGGGCCGGCGTCTACTTCACAGACCTCGACCCCCATTACTATTTCCGTAACGAAATACTGGCCAACAATTACGGCGGTATTGCGGCCTCATTCAAGACTAACAGCGACTACGTGGTGATTGTTGATCGGTCGAGTTTGCAACAGGGTCTATTGACTCAAAACAATGTGGACGACCGGCATATATACTGTTACCCCAACGAAGTGCCGGTGCGACCCAATCAGGTGTTTAATAAACCCACGTGTCGGTACAGTCCCGTCGATATTTATCACTACACCAGTACTGCCATCGCTGAGATCATAAAGCGTGAGGGGCGTATTCGCCCGGCTGATCATGGACAGGCAATTGGTAGGGGTGTGCTGCTGACCGAGCTCAATCCTTATGCCAATTACCGCAAGAATATTGTGGCAAATAATTATGGTAAAGAAGTGCCCAATAGATATGCCAATCGGGCTGATAATGTAGTGGTGATTGATCGGAGTAAACTGGATAGAGCCAAATTGAAAATGGTGCAAACTATTGGCAATAGAAATCTATATGTTTACCATGATGAGATTGTGGTCGATCCAGCCCGTGTCCGCGATAAGCCACAATGTCATAAAAAATAATATATTTTATTTTCTGGAGCTATTAATCGTTTTAAAAGCATTGATTTAATTTATGTTTTGTTTATTTTTATTTGTAAATTTATAATGATTGTATTAATTAATTATATAAACGTTAATTTGATAAACAACAGAATATATAATACAACTATTTATTATATTTGAATAAATTATTTGAAAAATAAATAAATGATATAATAATAATAATATAAATTAACCTATAACTAATTCAGTATAAAATTAAAACTAATTTGATAAATGTAGTTTAATTAATGGTGTGTAAAATAATTTCATATTCTCAATAACTTTCTATAACTCATGAATTCTCACGGTCTCTCTCTCTCTCTCTCTCTCTCTTTCTCTCTCTCTCTCTCTTTCTCTCTCTCTATCTCTCTCTCTCGTGACAATATT